CTCCTCTTCAGTATCGGAGTTAAACAAGCTGAGAAAAGCTGCGTCACACAGTGGTATCTGTTGTCCTCCCGGGGTGATGCTGGCTCTGAAGCTGTGGTGTCCTCTTCACGTAGCAGTCCAGCCTTTCAGAACCCATTGGTGATGGTGGACTCATTCACTCTGCTCCACACTGTTAGGATCCACTGGCAGACATCAGGAAATGACGCTCTTCACATTCAGCCAGATTTTGTGAATGATTTATCCCCGTCAGTCATCCAAGCCTCCCATTCAGCCCTGAGTGCTGCTTTAAATGCACGATTCACACTGATGTCCAGGGGTTGCAAAAACTTTGTTGTACCTCCAGGAATAACAGCAGGGATTGAGTTTGTTTTCTTGATGGCTGCTTTCACCGAATCCGTGATGTGGGCCCGCATACTGTCCAATATCATGTCTGTCGAAGATCTGTCGTGTCGTGTCTGCTACTAGCTAAAACAAAATGGCGCTACACCTCCGGCTAAGATGGCAGTATGGTCGCTCGGCTGTCGACTGCATGGGATTCCTTCCCCGGGGAGTGCAATGCCGAAAAACAAAAGGTCAGCAGCTCTTCACTCGACGTTTTTCCACAAACTGGTTCTGGATTAAGCTTTAAAGTTTTTATCAGTCAGATTCCACCGTGAAAAATGTCTGTTTTATCCCCTTTTATGAGTTTTTGGCCATTGACCATCTTTAAATCACCGCTTCCTGGTACAACAGTCGGCTCTGGAAGCGATCGCTTTTTTCTTCTTTTTTTTTTCTTCTTTTTTTGAAGCAAGTGGTTGAAGCAAATGGAGCATTAGAGCCCCCTGGTGGCTGAAGAAAAAAAATCCACGTATAAGCCGCACCGGACTATAAACTGCATGGTTCAAAGTTCAGGAAAAAAGTCGCGGCTTATAGTCCGAAAAATACGGCAATTGGTTTTCTTTAGTTTTATGTTATTTATACATTAATTTTAAGTTTTTAGTAGGAGACTTACGTTTTGTTTGTTTTGACGAGAGGTAACTGCGGTAGGGAAATGACACGACGAGATGAAGCTTTTCGGCATCGGTTCCAGCAGACTTTTTTTTTTGTTGTTGTTTGGTTTGGCTTCAGCATAACTTCCACGACTGAAAAGGTTTGTCCACAGAGGGTTTAAACGCTACGTTAAGGAGCTTTTGGAGAGCAGCTGCTCAATTCGGGTCTAGCCATCGAATGAACGAACACAACAGAGTGTGTTAAGGAAACACAAAAATCTAACCCAAAAATGTAACACTTACTTTCTTATCTATGTTAATGTTGTGTACGGATAAAACAAGCCGTGCAGCATTTTAACCAGTTAAAACCCAGTTTGCTTTATGTTATTTACAACATATTAACATTTCATATCTAAAATAGCCTAATTCTTTTGTTTTTTATTTCAGGAAACACAAAAAGTTTGTTAAATTTTAGGTTAAGTTTTTTGGTGGTAATTACAGTCCCTGGTGTTTGTTTATATAAACAACTGACTGAACACTTTATGAGGCAGTGCTGCATTGATGTAGAGTGAAATGCGAAGACATCTGGCTGCCCCTGCTCCAGACTCAAACTTACTGGTGGCAGCTGCTGCTTTTGTTCCTTCTTCATTCACAATAACTTTAGCTTTCTGCAGAGCCTTGGACACAAACACCGGTTCAGCACCTGAGAAAACAAGAGCAGTTCATTTTACTTTTAATTCTTTTAACCAGCTCAAGTTGTCTGCTTCGAAGAGGCTGTCAGTTTGTACTTCACACCACAAGATGGTGCTGCAGTAAAAAGCATCTGTGGTGTGTTTGAGTTGATAACACCACATGATGGCCATAGAGTGCTTCACCTCCAGATTCTTAGAGTCCAACGCAATTTGTGCCCAGCACTGATTCAGTTTTTCACACTCAACACTGAAACCATTCAGTTCTTAGCTGCTCTCAGCAGTAAACAACCAACAATCCTGTCATACTGTAACACTGACTCATGTCTAAATAACCTGCTGTAAACACATTCTTACTGCGTCTTAGTGATGGTGTTTTCACTCACTGAGGTGACTGAAGTCAGCTGCGTCTGCACTGAACATGTCTGTTACTCCCAGTGCAGACAGCGAGTCTTTCAGATCCACCTCTGCATCTGCAGTAAACCTACAAAACACAAACAGTTACTGTTTATCACGCTCAGAGCTGCAGGCTGGCTCACATGTGAACACGTCTTACTTGGGGATGAGCAGGCGGACTTTCCTCATGTGCATCAGCTTGGTCCAGCTATGCACGGTGGCCGTGCTGATGTGTGGGACGACCTGGGACAGAGTTGTGTCTTCCTCATACGGCACAACGATGAGCATGCTGATGGTGTTGCCGTGGTAGGGCAGCTCGATGACTCTGTATCTGAGCCCCTGAGGAGTGGTGGCTAAGCCTGAGAGAAAAAGACAGCTCAGTTACTTCAGAGAGAGGACACAGTACAGCTGAAAATAAAAAGCGTTTATTAAAGAAATGCATATCGCCCATCTTTCATGTTTTGGACTGTAATCATTTTATGTTGAGAAATAAGAGTTAGTGCTCAGAATATGTCTACTAGGTTTGTTATCTGTAGACTGACTCTCAGACATGTTTGAGTTTTTCAAGGTCTATCCATAGGAGCCATCTTGAATGCAGCTGATACAAACTAGAGAAATTGCATTTCCTGCAAAAATCCTAGTGTGAATGCTTCATGTTGAAAACTTAGTGTAACTTACCCCTCTGTGAAAGGATAACTCCGCCCCCAACGCAAATTTGAAAAATGCACAAAGTGGAGACTCTGAGGGGGGTGGGGGGGTGAGCGAGGTGTGGCCAGGAGGAGAGAAAGTTTTTTTTAAGACGAGACAACGTGACAGCTAGCTTTAGTTTACTTTGACAAGCTAACATTCATGAAAACATTTCTGAATGTTCTAAATAAATGACTTTGTAAAAAGTAAAGTTTCATGATATACATGCAAACTCACATTTAGCTGATACAACATGTAATAATGTAAAGTTCAAGCAAAAAAATCTGTTAAAATATGATTTACAGAAAGGTAAGTAATATCGCCAGCACCCACAGTCTCTCCAGGGCAAAAAGGAACTTTAAAGATCATCTTCTTCCTGGTCACCCCC